GAACCTGAACATGTTCATGAACTTTGAACTGAACCTGAACTGAACCAAATTTTAAGTTCAGGTTCAGTTCAGGTTCAGTTCAGATTCATAAATTTTAAGTTTAGTTCAGATTCATGTTCAATGATCTGCAAAATTTGAAGTTCAGTTCAGGTTCAATGAACTTGGTTCATAAATCTAAATTGAACTGAACTGACTATACTATTCTAATACTTAGTATATCTTTTGATCACTCTATATTTTAAAAATTTTTCTTAATTTTTTGTAAGGTTTTTTTTGATTTTTAATATTGTAATTTTTTTTTTTTTTTATTCAATCAAGCAGATTTTCAATTTTTCAACCTTTGATTTTTAATCTATTAATATTGTGTAATATATTATTTTTATTTTTTTTTCTATTATTCTTTTAATTAGTTTTATTTTATTTTCATATTTTTTATTGTTTCTTTCCTTTTTCTGCTTTTTTCTTTGTTTTAACAAAAAAATATTGTATTTTTTCTTTTATAGAAAATCCTTAATCTTCTTGTCTATACTTATTGGCTCAACTAAAACACTTTTGAGAATGATTGGCTTGAGTTATTCATGCCCTCTCTCTAACTTTCTCTAGTCTTTTTAATCTTTCTAATATTTGACCTAATATGTCTTCAACATATAAGGTCTGCTTTTGTAACTCAGTCATACTTTTGATTTCTTCTCTTAATCTTTTTTGTTTCTGATTCTTGACAATTGAATCTTTTTTGTTTTCTTTTTTATCCCAATGTCTTCTGCTCCCTTGTTCACTTCTCTTATCTCTTAACCTTATGCTGTATTTATTCTCATTTATACAGTAACTCCTTCACACTTGTGTGCTTTGCTTCTAAGTTAGTCAACATAGATTCAAAGATCTTTGTTTATATAATAAAATTGGTAATTTATTTTTAACAGGCTTTTGAGTGAAAAGTGAACCAAATTTAAATCTGAATTATATTGTGTAGAATCTAATAATTCTTTTTATCCGATAGCTTACTATGATCGTACCATTCAAGCTATTTTGGTGATAATTGAATCATCATCAAATAACGAAGTGATTTGATAATGACACAATTATTACTAAAAGAACTCGAATTATTCTGTTGGTTCGGTCGTCGTAAGCCACCCGATAAAACCGTTATTGGATACTATGTACGCAGCCAGATAAAATGAATCGTTTAGCAAATAATTCTGCTTCGCGTCCAATAACTATATGATCATTTTCATGGAATACACAATCAACCTTAAAATATACTGTATTAAGGATTCAGTATTTTTTTTTTAGTTTAGAATCATATGATTTTAGGTTAATACAAGTAAAAGGCGATAAGATCTAAATATCAGTGGATCAAAAAAAGAATATACAGTCAGACCTTTATAATTGCACTCTCTATAAATACACCTACTATGTAAATTCTCCCTAAATGCACGCCCTGTCATTGTCCCAAGTATGTAGGAACATAGTAAAAATTCTCTCTATAAATGCACACCCTCTCTAAATGAACATTTTTAAAAAAGTTTCCTATGGTCCCGAAGGGGGTGCAATAATAGAGGTCTGACTGTAGAATATAACCAATATCCACAATTGTTTGTAAACAACTGTACAAGCATATCTATCCATAGTATTCATATATGTAAATCTGATTTTCGAATTCACCCTTCTGTGGGTATACAAAGAGGTTTAATGAGGTATTTATAGATAAAGATGGTATTACAAATGATTTGATCGTTACAGACATAGACTCAACAGAAGGTGATATTGAAACATTTGCGTGCAGTAGATCTAATTGGTGTAATTATTAAAGATGAAAATAATCAATTATCTTTTACTCTACATACCAATAATCTTGTCGACATAATTTCTTCTACTATAAATTATTGGTATTTAATACTTTGTTTAGTAATTCTTCAAAAAAAAAAAAAATTTTTTTTGTATATGAAAAAATCGAATTAATAATACATTGTCTTATTCAATTTTCTATTTCTAGTAACTCATAGAAATTATTTTAGAAGTATCGATATATATTTAGTATACACTTATTTTGTGTACGTATGCTATTTGACCAGATTAGTTAACTTATATAGTTATTACTTAGTTTTTATTTAACGATAATTGCATTGTTGGTACGTAACGCAATTGGATCTGACGTAAGGACAACAACGCGTGTTAGGCAGATAGCAGCAAATGATTCAAAATTCTTGATTTAGGAGGACTCAATAGGAAAAGGTGTCATCAGTGGGAATAAAATGGAAATATTGATGCAAGGTGTTGTGGAAATTACGGAGTAACCATTCCGTGAACATATATTATTATATATGCAATTTATATAAAACCCACATAGTATAACTAGGAAACAATTCAAATTGTATACTCGCTAACGTTAATTTTAATAAAGCTCCTTTGCTAAAGAAGCTATTTTAACATCAAAAAAAAAACCAATATCAAAAGCAATATAAATTATAAGATCTCAGTACTACAGTATATCAGACCATTGTGTGGCGAGATAACGGACGTTTTATTTAATAACAAGTCCATATAGTGATATGTTTTAAGCTACAATAATAATAATTCTATGTACACATTTATAGATTAGTATATACGCATCCTTTTTTGTAAGGTAAGCCTTTTCATTTTTCCGCCTTTAGATTTATTAAAGTCTATGGGAAGCAATAACTTTTTTTAAATATAACGATAAATTAACTTAATGTTTATTAATTAATGTCAGGATTAGACGGATTAGATGGATTAGATGCCATTCATTACCGTTATATTATAATCTAAAAGAATAGAACCGATTATTAGCGTTAGTAATTCTGATCAAAATTGGTAGATCATTGGACCAGAATCTGAATAGACAACTTTGAGTTTGGACAAAGTTATGAGTAATCAATCTTATTACAATCAAAAACAGCCCGTAATGAATTAGGATAAGTGTTAAAATACATAGGTAAAATGGCTTCTCCGAAATTTGTTCACTAATGTTCCGAGAAGGGTTCCGCGACCGTCATTTCTGGATGAGTGATATAAATCACGTGAACATAGAAACCTCAATGTTGGAGCTGGATTGAGAACAGAAAGAAACGTATTATATACCAAAAATTTCGGAGAGATTTATAATCGATTTTTAGTCAGAATTTGTTGTTCTTGGTAATTTTCATTCCGATACTACGTTCAAGAATTTCTTTTTTTGGGTTGAAAGTGTGTATACGTAGGCGCCGCAAAAGTTGATCTTTAGTTTAGGTGTGTATATATAATTATTATATAGTTATATTATGTATAAATTAACTAATTTAAGTAATTTTATGAATTATTAGGGCCAAAGAGAAGGTTAGAATTTAAATTGCTAGGTTTTATATATTATAATATTGTAATAGCCACCTATCCGCAGCGAATTTTACTACTTATTATGCGCATAATCTATACTGTTTGGAGAAAACTCAAATCGGAGAAACGATGCGAATACGCATTGTTTACATCCATATGTGTAAATATGAATAAAACATTATACCCATTATAAGGATTAATGAACTACGCCGTATGCTCTTTGAAATTGGTGATAGTAAAATCTTTTTTTTATAAAAGAGGAATAGCTCACAGACATTTGAATTGTTTTTACTAAATTAAAAAAAATTTTGTCGGTAACTACATATAAAACAGGAACATCGTCTAAAAGTAGTAACTCATTTTTGGTGCGTAGCAGATAGATGGGTGGCAAAGAGAACGAAAAAGAAGAGTTCTCGCCCGAAATCAATTTACTTGATCCAAACAAGCCATATTTCTACTCTGAAGACGAACAAATTACCGGTGTTTCAGTAAAACCACCTTATCCTCCTGAGATAAAAGCTGGTGATTTAGTCAGGGATTTGTTATCAAAGTATGAAACGAAATCACCCAAGATGTTGAATGAATTTTTTATTTATCGAAAGGCGTTTGTTCAAGCATTTAAAAAACAAAAACTTAAGCCAAAGATGACTCAAGTTTCTTCATTGGCGTCTACATCCTGGCATAGTGAATCAACAGATGTAAAAAATGCATATAGAAAAATTGCTCGTGAAGCCGAGCAATTATATATTAATGAAAGGAAAAAAAGACAGCAGTCAAAAACAACCGATAAAATGCAAACATCAGATTCTGAAGTAACGTCTACCCCAATTTCATCCGGATCAAATTACCCAGTCGTTTCTAATCCTTCACATAGAACAGTTGTCAGTGTTCAACCTGGATCATTCATCAGCATTAAATCGCCCACTCATACGAACCTACAATTTTTAGACACTAACGCATCATCGGCTTTCAATGGTTCTTATGAACAAACTTGCCCTACTTCATTCGAAGATGCAACTGATTATTATTCAGAGCTCACAACAGAGCCAATGTATACACAAGATCAACAACCTATAATGCATCATGGAACTTCAATTCAAACTACCAACGCAAATTTTAACTTGCGATATCAATCGATATATTCAGGGAATCCCTTACCAACTGAAGGTTATTACACTTTTAATACAAAGAATACTTCGTATAATTCTAATACATCTGGGACACAATATCCATACTCTCAAACATCTACCCAGTCTTTAAGTTCGCATAATATGTTAGATTATAGTAACGGAGGTGGACCTCTCGGGCGGCCGCCTGTTAATGAAAACAAATAGATCATTTTTGAATAATTGATTTCATAACGATAACAAGCAAGATTAACGAAAGGCTAAATCAATGACAATGGCAACACTCTATTGGCGAAGGGTGTACATTTTTCACTGTCCAAGGCTTTTTTGACCATGTCCAAATGTCTAATAAATTTGTTTAAAAGATATATGATTATATATATTTTTTTAGGTTCTGAATATTTTTCATTTAGAAAAGTATATAGATTATATAGTAAATTTTGAGTAATTTTAATTTATATTTTTGTCCAAACTCATGTCCAAAGTTATCTATTGACAACACTGCCTACTATTAGGTGACAACTTTTACCGTTAGAAAAAAAGTCTTCATCCCAACAGTAATGATCATAAAAATTTTGATATTTAGAATAGGCGTATTTAAATAGCGATAGCCACAAAAACAAACACAAAGTATTTTCTTATCAAACCCGAATCGCAGGATTTGTGTTTTCTTTTCATAAGGTTATTTATTTTTTTTTCGGCTAAATATTCTAAATTACGGAATTAGCAAAAATTTTAGGTTAACAAATCCAAGTTAGGAAAATTACTTTGTATCATTGTTTTTACGTATATAATTTGGATAGTTGAAATTTGTTACATATTTACGAATAAAACAAAAAAGCCTTTTTTTTATTTTTGATTATTGTTTCTCACAAAATTACAAATATATACGCAATATATGTGAGAAATTACCATGAATGTCAGAATTACATAATGATCAAGAATCACACACACGTCAAGTTTCATTTATATTTTTTATTATATAAAAAGTATGTTAACCAAGGATGGTCACACAACTCACCCACTTACATCTTTGTCGAGTCCACTCATTAATACCTAGTCACAACAGAGTATCCTAAGCGTTGTTAATAAACAATAACATTATTTAAATAACATTTTCAAGATTAAAATTCATGACTTTAATAAGAATTTGTATACGACTCCTATCCCCCCTTGTATGTAATATAAATAAAATTCCAAAATTAAACTTCTTCATAATAATGAAGTCTTGCTTCTATATTCTCATCACGGTATTTATGGATAATCCAAAAGGCATGTAAAACGCCTTGAATGAATGAAGATGAATAAATATTCGTAAAGGGTTTATACGGTTTAGTTTTATTGATCATGATACATAATACTTTTTTTTAGCTTTGTTTACCTGGAAGGAATCCTAAAAAAATAAATACAAAATACAATAATAGGATTAATTTGAAATAAAAATATATATCTAATTATATACAATTCAAATTTAAATTTACCTATGAGCGTCAAAATAAGATTAATACTATTGTTTACGGGATGAAAATTTGTACGTATAAACATTAGTTATTAAAAAAAAAGAACGAAGCCCCCAAAAAATATATACACACCAAAAATCCACATTACAGCATCCTCGTTTCAAACAAACACCAAGAGGCGGCAGAATAAAAGCAAGCACCATTAACAAAATATCGGATAAACTATATCTGGCCATTTTTTTTTTTTTTGAAAATAAGTACTATTTGGATTGTTTTAAATAAAATAGAGATGTTAAATTTGTGACATAACAATGACAGTTATATCGATACCGGTATTGATGATCACATAATTAGATCCTATCTTTTTAATATCATTCACTCAGGTGGGGCTCAGGTGTTCCAATTGATTATTGCAAAGATAATCAATTATAAAAAATGCACAAGATCAAGGCGAAAAAGGGGAATGTGTGAAAATTGTATTCTTTTCTTTTTTTGCCCAGTCATGGTTTTTTAAAAAAAAAATTTGGTTATATATATCATCGACTTTATTATCTAGTTATTATTATTTAAAAAAAATGGAAATGAAATTCATTCCTTCGAATTATACTAAAGTGTCTTCTTCAACCGGCGTTGTTCTTAAAAAATTAAAAAACGGCGTTCTTAAAAAATCAAAAAACGGAGTTCTTAAAAAATCAAAAAAAGGAGTTGTTCGTCAACCAAAATCTTCTCAACCAACTATAGGTTTGTAAAAATTGGTTTAAATGAATTTTTTTTTCTAAAAAATAAAATTAGCAATTAATTTATTTCGTCGAATTCTAAGAATCTACTTCGACTAAAGATTCTCCTAAGCAATTGTCACCGAGAAAACCAAGAATCAAAAAATGGAAATCTTCTGAACCACATCCAATTGTTTCATTTCCACCTGAATTATTCATTAACATCCTTTATTTCTGCAATCCTCAAACGTTACTTTCTCTTTCTAAAGTTTGTAGACAATTTGCAATGTATTTGAATGCATCTGATTCTTCCATCACTACTAAAATTTGGAGGGATTCAAGAAAAGGATTTTTAAATAATTTGAAATTGGATCCACCCGAAGGTATGACTGAAAAAGAGTATTGCAAATTATCTGTTGAACGTGGCTGTATGGTTTGTGGTATACCCAGAATTAGAAAAGTGTATTGGGCTTTTAGAGTGAGGTAAAAAAACTTTTTTTATCATAAATTAATAATTCACATAATAATTATTATCACTATTATCATTACTCGGTTCTAAAATTAATCGTCATACCTTAGGTGTTGTACCGCATGTTTGGAGAAAATGACTATTAGGTAAGTTCATCAAATAAATAAATTATATATATTTATTTAAGTAACGATTTATTACAAACTATTCGTTAGTGATTATCGAATCGAAAGCGAACTGGGTATCCCTTCCTGTGTTTTATTTGGTCTTCCATATGTCCAACAACAAAAATGGGCTAGACGAAGAGGATCATTCATAGTGAGAATTTATTTAGTAAAACAAGTTAAAGATGCTCACAAGGAATATAAAGAGGTACCTGCTAAAGAGCGTAAAGATTGGTATCAAAGAATGAAGATTCAAGGAATTGAGATTATGAAGGAGGTTAATCAACGTATGAATGATGATAGTAACAAACGAATGAAACGCGTATATCCATTAGATTACTAACGTAAGTTATGGAAAATATTGTTGTTAGGGATTGAAATTATTTTTTTTTTTGCTTTATTTTCTTTTTTCTGCTAATTGTGCTTGTCGGCATTTTTTCGTAATGTAAATTTTTTTTCATTTCAGCTTTTTTTTTTTTTTATGTTAGTCTTTTCTTTCCGCTTTATCCTTTTAAGTCGTAGTACATATATTTTGTTATACATGTAATTACAAAAGCTTATATCTTATTATTAAATATCCAATCACGCGACTTTTGGAATATAATGATACGTATCAGGTATATCAGGTATATATGCCACGAAAATAGGGTTTTGAAAATAGCCTATTTCATCTTTATTAGAGCAAATAGTAATTTTTAAATAAATGATCAAATAAAAACCATATATATATATATATATATTAGTTTCGTTTTTCAAAAAATTTATCAAAAAAATTTCGTCCTCATCTATAATAGATATTACTTAAGTATATAATGTAAATAAACTTTCAAAATCTCATTTCTGTTGTCCCGTTCTAATACTAATCAAGCGTGTTATTCACACAAAACTTTTTGACTTCACATGAGAGATAACAGTAATCAATAAAAAAATAGATCTATTAGTACTGACTTCGTATATGTTTGGTCTATTGTATAACCAAATAATAGCTTAATATTATTACTTGAACAAAGAGACTCAAAACAAATAACCAAAAGCATAAAAAGAATAAAACATCCCTACCTATTTTGGTGGATGCGGTAATAAGACAGGTAGGCATTGTTGTAGTCGTAATTACATTATTCGGAATAGCGCATACTGTAATCCGGACACTAAGATATTTTTCAGTAGAAATAATCGTCGCCTAGATGATGGGTACCTAGATGATGATATATGTTGTGAAAAGAACATCAACTGCCTTCCGTAATACACATGTACGCACGTATATATGTACGCGCGCGCGCACGAAGTAGAATACTTAGACGTTGTAATGGTGATACTTTATTCGATTATCTTCTATTTTTAATTGTCACAATATTATTACTTTTCAATACAATAAATTATTAAGATTAATTCATTTTAATTCATAGCATCCAATTAATATTAATTTCATAGTATCCAATTAATATTACCATTAAAGAAATCAAGACTGTAATGTATTCATCTAATTTTTATCTATGTATAAAAGATCAATCATCTGGAACATCATGTTTCGATCATTTGAAGTTGACAGAAGTCGTTGATAAATATAGTTTATAATTTTCGAATAGTTTACAGCTTTCGAATAGTTTACAACTTTCGAAATAATTTACAATTTTTATGTTTTTACCAAGATTATTATTTGATCACTTTGCAATATTTTTGTATCAATTTTTTTTTTAACTCATTTGTACCAAGTAAACTGTTTAAATGGTCACATACATTGTTTTTGGCGTGTAAATAAAAGCAAATACAACCTGATTTACCTTTCGTACATCAGGTTTTATGTGTCACTATGTTTCTGCAAACGACCTGTAGATTAGATAATATATCGATATATATAAATGAAAATCTGAAATGAAAAAAACGGCGATAAATTGTCAAGCCTCCACTTTATCGACCTTTTCGTGAAAATGAATTCAAAATGTTTATTTTTTGGTCAAAGATACTATCAGGTCTGAAAGATATACTTTTGAAATACCTATTTGAAATATTCTAATATTGATTCTTAATATTTTTGACTTTTTTTTCATCAAGTTAGCAAAATCAATCAATCAAATTCGTTCAATTAATCCACGATCATTTGCTACTATTACTAATCAATCTAAACCTTCAATTCCTGAACCAAAAGACTGTTCTAAAATAACACCAAATTATGCAAAATTGGTTGAAAATTTGTCAATTATTCGAAAAAGAATTTTTGGTGATCAACCTTTGACTTTATCTGAAAAAATATTATATGCTCATTTATGGGATCCGAAAGGTATTGATAGTATTGTCAAAGGTGAAACTTATCTGAAATTAAAGCCTGGTATGTTTCTGATTTGACTCTTTTTCGAAAGTTTGGATTTGAAAGGATAATAAAAATTTGACTGCATTATATGAAATATGTGAATAGATAGAGTTGCTATGCAAGATGCGTCATCCCAAACTGCCATTCTTCAATTTATGCTTGCTAAAATGCCAGTAACAGCTGTTCCAACGTCCATACATTGTGATCATTTGATTGAGGCATATGAAGGTGGTGACAAAGACTTGAAGGTTTGTTCATATCTAATCAGAGAGAATGAATGTCTCTTGAAAATATTGTTCAATAACTGAAAAATATCGTCGACAATATAATCAAGTTCATGAACTTAAATACTTACTCATCACTATTGTCTATAATTTTGATTCATTTTTGTTTCCTTTCATTTTACGATCAGAACAATAACCTTGTTTTATTTTTATTCATTAAAGACTGCTGAAATAACAAGTAAAGAAATATTTGATTTCTTAAAAAGTGCTTCAGACAAATATGGAATAGAATTTTGGAAACCAGGAAGTGGAATTATTCATCAAATAGTTTTGGAAAATTATGCCGCTCCTGGTGCTCTTATGATTGGAACTGGTAATTAATCTATGATTTAATATATATATTTAATATATTTAATATATTTAATATATTTAATTTTTATCATTTAAAATTTCTTACATGATTATAATCAATTCTCTTATGAATCTCTCATGAATTATATTTAACGTAATTAGATAGTCATACACCAAATGCCGGTGGTCTTGGAACAATCGCTATAGGTGTTGGTGGCGCTGATGCTGTTGATGCCATGGCTAATGTTCCATGGGAACTTAAAGCTCCAAAAATAATTGGTGTAAAATTGATTGGCAAATTGAATGAATGGACAAGTCCTAAAGATGTAATATTACATTTGGCTGGAAAATTAACTGTTCGGGTGCTTATCATTTATTGAGCTTTTTGTTTTAAAAAAGAAAAAAAAAATTATTTTTCATTTTTTTTTATAAATACTTTGTAACATAACCTGACTAAATATTTACAGGGTGGAACTGGTCATATAATTGAATATTTTGGTACAGGAATTGAAACTCTTTCTTGTACAGGGATGGCCACAATATGTAATATGGGTGCTGAGGTATCTATTGCATTTATTAAATATGCTGTGTTGGTCCATGCTACATATAATTCTTAATACGATTTAAAATGATTCTAAACACATTTATAAATACGTTTCCAAATATGATTCTAAATATGATTCCCTTTTTTTTTAGGTCGGTGCAACTACCTCCGTATTCCCTTTTACATCAAGCATGTACTCATATTTATCTGCGACTAGACGTTATCCAGTTGCCGAACAGGCTACCTCTTATGCATCATATCTAAAAGCTGATTCTAATGCTCATTATGATCAAATTATTGAAATTAATCTATCGGAACTTGAACCTCATATTAATGGTCCATTTACTCCTGATTTATCGACACCTCTTAGTAAATTCGCTGACTTTGTTACAAAGAATGGTTGGAAAGATGAGATAAAGGCTGGGTTGATAGGAAGTTGTACTAACAGTAGTTACCAGGTCTTTTGTTTTACAAAGTTAACGAGCTTATTTATGATTTTTAATGATGTATAAATTAAACTTATCAAATATAAATATAAACGTATGTTTAGGATATGAGTCGCGTAACTAGCTTGGTGTCACAAGCACTTGATAAAGGTATACATCCAAAGAGTGACTTTTATATTACCCCAGGAAGTGATCAAATTCGCGCGACAATGGAAAGAGACGGACAAACTGAAATATTACAAAAAGTTGGTGGTCGTGTTTTGGCTAATGCTTGTGGGCCTTGCATAGGACAGGTAACTATATATATATATATTCTTAGATTTGTATCCATAAAATTTTATTTGACACGGGTATTTTCAACAGTGGAAAAGAACTGATATTCAGAAAAATGAAGAAAATGCCATCTTAACTTCATTTAATCGTAACTTTAAAAATAGAAACGACGGAAATCCATCAACAATGAACTTTTTGGCGTCTCCAGAAGTAAGTCTTTTTGTTATTATGTACTATAGGATTATATAAAATTAAATTTTATTTTTATTCTGTAAAAAAAAAAAAAAAAAAAGGTTGTGACGGCCATGACATTTGCAGGTAGATTAACATTCAATCCGGTGACAGATACATTAGTAGACAAAGACGGAAAACCATTTAGATTTTCAAGTCCATTCGGTGATGAATTACCAAAATATGGATTTGAAAGAGGTAACATACACTATAAAATGCTTTCGATATTTTTTTTTATTCCTAAACCAAATTTTTTAAATTTGTACATGACTTTTTTTTTTTTTTTTATAGGAAAAGAATTCTATGAACCGTCACCGGTTTCGACAGGGAACCCATCAACACAAATTACAATCCCTCCAAATTCAGACCGAATTCAGTTATTGGAACCATTTCCGATATGGCATGGTAGTGAATTTCATGATTTACGCGTTTTAATCAAAGTAAAAGGCAAATGTACAACGGATCATATATCTGCAGCTGGACCTTGGTTAAGATTTAAAGGTCACCTAGAAAATATCTCTAATAATACTTTGATCGGTGCTCTTAATGCTGATAATGGAAAAGTTAATCTTGTAAGAAATGTTTTGACTGAAAAGGTATGACAATTCTAATTTGTTAAATGTGAGTTTTTATAACTACATAGTTAGGTCATAATTATTTATTTTATTTTTAGGATGGAACCATACCAGAAGTTGCACGTTATTACAAAGAAAATAACATTCAATGGATTGTTGTAGCTGATGTACGTATAATGTTTTAAAAAAAAAACTTTCAAATTGTTTATATACTTAAATCTATTTTATCTTGTTGATATATAAAGCATAATTATGGTGAAGGATCAGCCAGAGAACATGCAGCATTACAAGTTCGCTATTTAGGTTGTCCAATAATTATTGCAAAATCATTTGCAAGAATTCATGAAACAAATCTAAAGAAACAAGGGGTGTTACCATTAGTATTTAAAAACGAAGATGATTATAATTTACTCTCGGGTGGTGACATAATCTCTACAATTGGTGTTGTAGGATTAGAGCCCGGTAAAGATGTAACGATTAGAATTAGAAAAGAAAAAAGTGGTGGCAAGATTGAGGAATTTGATATTGTAACAAAACATACAATGTCAGAAAATCAGATTGAGTGGTTCGTTATGGGAAGTGCTTTAAATCTTATTGCTAGTATGCAGAAATCCAACAGTATTTAACGATTGAATCACTGTTTTACATTACATATTGGCGTTGACATAATCGTTTCTAGCAAATTAAAATTTTAGTAAACCAAAATTTTCAATAAGGCTATGACAACGATGTCTACGGTTTTCTTTTCCTTAATTTGGATTTTCGCATTTCTCTTTTTTCTACTTTCATTTACGTTTTTATTCTTTAAAATGCATTATTTATTAGTAGGTTTTACAATTCGATAAAATGTATAAAATAATTAACTTTTATTTGATGCTCAAAGAGACACGTAACATAACGATTGGTTTTTATAATTATACATAAATTTGTGTTAAACTAGAAATTGGAGCTGCCTAAAATTTTTTTAATAGCTTAACCGTATATGTTTAGTATCACTAGTGACGGGCACCACGCGGGATTCTAAAATGATTTATCGATTGGCCCGCATTAACAACATAATTTTGGGTAGGGCCTTACTGTTCCAAAAGTTCCGGCATATCTATCCTGCGTATCTGTAATTTTGATTAATCGAGTTTTAAGATCTGGTGTGATAAGCATAGCGGGCTTTCATTATTTTGTCTCTCATCAAGGTGTTCTAAAAATTACGAACCATAATTATGGGTATTCTGTCTCTGCTGCTTTGTGCAAACATCCAAATATAATGCAGAATTTAAAAGCATCGATAAAATATGCAGATGAATCATTGCCACCTACCAAAAACTACGATTTGACTGTCGTCCCGACAGGCCAGATCCACTGATCGATACACATATATGAAATGATACTCCTTCGTGACTGTCGTCCTGGGATCATTTTGCAATGGTTTTCCAAGGTCACAGAGTCAGGTTTGCCTATAACACTATACTAAACTCTAATGACATAATTATGTATGTCAATACTATAATAAACTCTACCGATAAACTCTAATCAAATACAAATCGTAATTACCACATGGTTATGTAACTTCATCAATAAGCTCTAACAAATTTTATCAAATATCTCTATGTAATTACATAATCATTACATAATTTATTAATAATTGTTCAATTAAGAATTTATACATTATGATTAATTTGAGACAAAATATTGCTTCAATATTCTTGTATTAGGCAGTTAATTTTGTCTTTTATCAAAGAGATCTTTTAAAAAATTACAAAACATTATTAAATATAAAGAAATAAACAAGACATGATCTATTAAAACAAGTACATTTACTAGGCAGATCATCAGATTTTGAATTAGAAAAAAAAAATTAGATTAAATTTGATATATTAAGAACAAATTACAATCTTTTTGAACTATTTAGATTAAAAGTCTGAAACAAAACATAAGTATACTAAAGTACTAGAGATATGTTATAAAGTTGATACTAAGATTTGAGTAAATTTTACAAAAACATAATCTTATTAATAGTTTATAAAATAAATAAATTATTTAATAAGAAAGTGTTTAACAACTTATAATTAGATACGTAATATGGTTTAAAATAAAGAATAGCTTGATAGATATAAAAGAAAAAACTTAAATATTGAATAAGATAACAATTAGATATACAGAAATAATATGATTTATCTAGTAAAATATATAGATCAGAAAGTTTAAAATAGATAATCTTAATAGATTGTAAATATAACAACTAGTATAAAACTTTTAGACAAACTACTTAAATAGATAATTAAAAATTATATATATAACTAATTATATATTTATTTTTATATAAATTATATATTAAAAAAATAACAATTCTAGTATAGTAGTTGGATTGTTATTCTTCAAGTAGTAGGTCTAATGTTCAAATTTTACTTGTAATAAAATTTGAAAATTAAACTGTATTACAATAACTATTTTTTATTGATTAGTTAAATTTATAAATTTGTAACTTTAGATATACCAAGTCAGGTTTTACTCATTATTAGAAGCTCAAGGCATTTATGCAAAGTGTAATGTTATATATATATAGAGGAATGTTATTAACTGATATTAAATAAGACTTTAGTATAAATCTACAATAAGACTACTAAATGTAAGAAGATTAAGAAACTAAAAACTAGAAATTTATTTAAAAATTTCTAAGTAAAAAAATAACATGAATTTTTAACAATACCATTAGATTAGTTGAAGTTTATGAAACATTTTTATAATAATAGATGAATAAACCAAATAATAAAATATATAAAAAAACATATTACTAATTAGATCACTAAAAATTATTAGAGAAAAAAGATACTAAGATATATTATATTGGGTCATTTAAATTAAAAATCTAGAAAGTTTATTAGTTCTGAGCTGTAGTTTTTAGAAATTGTATTATATATATATACCAACTCATAGTCTGTAATCTTTAAATAACAGTCTTTCAAACTCACAGATATTTAACTTATACTCTATTATATATATATATATTATACTTTTTATTATAATTTATACTTATTAACTTTACTAAATTATACAATATTCACATTATTTTTTACAAAATTACTACTTACTAAAATGATCAATATGATAATTTTTAGATTAATTCATATACAATAATTATACTTTGTTACATCCTACTTTTATGTTTTATAATATTATAATCTTATATATACTTTAAACTTTGAAAACTTCTTTTTCAAACTACTTATTTGTTGTATTATTTATACAATATGTTATATATATATTTATGCATTATGAATTATACAAAACAGTTTTTAAAAATAGTACAAAATTTTTAACCAAATTTATTGGCAAGCTATCTGACTATATATTAACAATAATCAAAAACTCTCAATCTTTTTATACAGCTTTTAGTCCTTTATTTTTAAGTTCTTTAGAATCAAAATTCTATTAGATAATTTTTCTACTTTATATATTCTATACAAATAATTTTATTTATATTTATCTATTTGTTATTAATGTTACAAAATTAGTTCTTATCTTTACTAGACAACTTATTCATTTAATCAATTACTAAACAGCCTTATAGATATTTTATTACAACACATCTTTAACACTAAAATGCTTAACACTATATTAAATATTATAGTTAATTTATATAATCAAATTAAGCTATTAAGTAGTATAACTATTTACAATATATTAGATGTATTTTTAATTTTCTTAATTTTAATAAATCTAATATCAAATAAACTTATTAACATTATTGCAAATTTGTTACCTAAAAAAATAACTACAACACTTGTTATAAAGTTTATATTTTATCTTAATTAACAAATTTATCACAAAATCTGAATTCTTTATTGTATTTCAAGATCTACAATTCAATTTTCTGAATACAACTTATTATTAAACTCTGTCTTACTTCTATTATGTTTTCTTCTTTCAATTCTATTAGTTTAAAAATAAACTCTTAGTATATCTAATAAATCAAATATTAAACTAACTTTCTATATATAATTATTAACATTTAAATTTAGATAAGTCTTAGGCATTCTTATTAGTTTAGATTGCAAATAAATTAGTCTAAGCTTCTATTCTTTTTATACTATTTTAAAAGTAAAATTATACTTTATATAAAAACTTAATTAAATATTCAATAAAGATAAAGACATGGCTTCACTATTAAGATTTTAAAAAAACATATATGACAAATTTAATAAACTAATTTATATTAATAACTAACTTAAAAAATACCAATACTAAATAAATAAACTTATTTATTTCTTCTTATTTTGTTTTGTTATTAAATTTTTTCTTATTCCACTATAGGTTTTAATAAAAGTTGTATTTTAATATTTATTTTATATTATTATTTTTAAAAATATCTTGTAAAATTAGTAACAAAAATAAGTAGCAACAGTTGTATATATCTATTTACATAGTATTAACAGACTTTGTATTTATTTTTGTTGAACTAATATTACTAAAACTGACATTTCAGCTAAAATTGAAATTTGATAAACTGATATAAAATGACAATATATTATTTTTATAAAGATTGTATATAATGATAGTTAACAAAAAATTTATTAAAGTCATAATTATTTCATTAATATACTGCACTATTATATAATAATCTTTATATCATTATTTTTAATTATTTGAGAATTTTTATATTTACAATATCTTATATTCTATAAAAAATTTTATTTCTAAAAAAATACTTTAGATTCTTTTATATTAGACTTAATATTTAGATTAGAATTAAAATTTAAATAGTTATATATAATATCTAAAGTTCCTTAAATTCAAATCAAATTAAATATTAGGTCATTTTAATTTGATTAAATTAAATATATTCTTGATTTGATTTGATTTAATCAAATATTAGATTCAAATATTTGAATTTGATTTAATTTAAAAAAAATTTAAAATTTTAATCAATAAAAAAAAAACTTGATTTACTAAAGTTTTTATTATATTAATTAATTTTAAACTCTTAAATAAAAGTGTTTTTTAAACAAAATATTCTTAGTTTTATAAAACAAAAAAAACAATTATCTTAATAAAATTTTAAGTAAATAACATAATTTTAAATGTTTAATTGTAAATTTTTAAATTAAATCTAATTTGAATTTGATTTAATTTAAAAATTTCAGATTTGAATTTAATTTAAGCTCAAATATTTAATCAAATCAAATCTAATTTAAATTTAATTTAATTTAAAAATTTTAGATTTGAATTTGATTTGAGCTCAAATATTTAATTAAATCAAATTGCAAAACGCTAATAATATTATTTAAGAAAAACTTTTCATTAATATACAAAAGGTGTTTTTTTATGCATATTATGTTATACTAAATTATAATATTATATTAGTTAATAATTATGTAAATAAGATTTTTATTATAATACTAGAATAAATTTACTTTAGATAACATTATTATTATTATATAAAAATCTATTAACTTTTTTTTTTTTTAATATTAAACTAGTCTCTTTTAGAACTAGGCTTTATTCAATAAATTAGAACATAGAGACTTGTGGCTAAAGCCTCAAAGAAGTTATCTTACATTAGAGAGTACATCTAGTCACATATATACTTTTGGTATCTAATTTAAGTAGTTCATTAATAGTTCTATACTAG